CGGAGAGTGAAACTCTGAAGCGCTCAGTCAGAGTGTTCTGTGAGTGAAAATATATCTGTGCTAAACTTATACTCAGCCTCCAACTCACACACTGTCGAGTAAAATCTGATAATTTATTAGCCATTGGCTAATATTAGACATCATTTAGTCGCCCAGAGTGAAGATTTAGTCGCAAATGCGAGTGATTTACTCGCACTGTAGAGGGTTGGTAAGGGTGCTCCGATCAGAATTTTTGGATCACAGGAAGCAGTATCTGCTGATACGATCACAGATACCGATATTTGTTAGTTATTTAATAAAAAAAAATATGAATTGAACCTCACCTTCAGAATTATAATTATTTTAACTGCACCGAACGGAGATTGAAACGGTGCTGCTAAAAGCCATGCCAAACCTCTCACGCCAGGTGCGTTATCAGCTTGAGATCGGTTTATGAGATCGGCCTAACTGTCACCTTCCCACCTGTGAGACGCTTGATGCTTTTTTTTCGTTGTCTTTTTTCCCTATCACATATTTTACTAATCATCATAAGTTATATATTATTTGAAAGCTTAAAATCTCAAAATCCATTCTGTGAAAACCATTTTGAAATCGGACATTGTATTACCACAGAAATGGTACTTTAAAATCTTTTATTTTTAAATCTTAGTGGGTGGTGTCAAGTGTCATATTACAAAATGTATTACGTTATTTTACAATCAAAACTTTTTATAATCTTGAGAATACATATTGTTGGAAAGGTCTGAGTTTCAAGATTCCATATTTGGTGATTATTTTGTGATAGCAGTAATATTGAGAGAGAAATTCATACATTTGTGACAGAAAAAATGCATTAAAAAATTCAATGGAGTTTGGATGTCACCCGGTGGCTGTTTTTGGTATAAGGCCCTAAATAAAATCTCACAGGAACCTCAATTTTTTTTCATATCAACTTCAAATTTGGAATATAACTTAAGACAAAAAGAATTACTTTTATAGCAATTTTGGATTAAAAAATATTTTGTAAAATATTTATTTTATATAAAATATAAAATAGTATAGTGCATTTTCTTTACAGTAAATTTAAACTTCTATAACTTTTTGATACTTTCATTTTTTGAGAAA